TAATGGAAAGGCATGTAAAGACATGATACCCTTACTCTAGGGCTTTTTCTTTTTTTTTCTTTAAGTTTCCCATATGAAGCAATAGAAAATGATATCCCTGTTATAGAATTCTGTAGGATAGTTTAAAAATTTTATGGAAAGATTAAACCTCCACTGAAGTATGTGGATTTCTAGAATAAGATTTTGATTACTCTAGAGAAATGTTCTGTCAAATCCGGTGCAAATGCAACGTCCACATAACTTTGCTTATGCTAGTTTCATAATCTGGCATACCAGCAAAACACAGTTATGTTTGGACAACTGACTGTTTCAGAACTCAGAATACTTTAACTATGTCAGTAAAAAATCCTACCCCAAACTGATGTAGTCAAACTGATATTAATTTTACAAGTAGGTCTAATTTCTATAGAACTCTGCTGGGTTCTTGCTTTCTACATTTTGTTCCTTAACACCATTTCTTTTTTATAGTTATTTCCGAATATTATATATGTTTCCTCATAGTATGGCTGCACTCTCTTCTACACAAATATTTCAGTTGATTTTTAATGGGACCCTAATTTACTTGATATAAAAATTCAAGAGTTACCAGTGAGGAAATAGCTCTTCTCAAGAAAAATCTACGCTGCTTACCTTTGACAGAAGGAAATGACAAGCATTACATGAAGACACAGAGCTGTGTGAATCACAAAATGCCTCCGAGGCCAAGACATATTCCAACAGGAAAACATAAATTATAACTATGGCAGCAGTCTCCTCCAGTCTAAAGCACCATAATAATGGTTGTTGATCAACACTGTCTTGATCATTTTTAAGCAGCTGCTTTACCCAAAATCTACTCAACTGTCAAGATGTGGTCTAGACCACTTCCCTGAACTTTCATTAGATACCTAAGAAAAGAAATTATAGAATCTGACGTTCCACCCCCCAAAGTACATCGTTTTACAGGAATGTGATGTATAGTGCATATATAACAGGATTCTAACAATAATAAATTAACTAAAGCAGGTTACACATACACTTAGTAATCTTCTCCGTACCTAGAGGGTTTCAATTCAGGCAAGTTTTGACACAGGTCCCAAGCTAACCTTTGCAAAAACCATGCTCAAGAAGATAATGAGTTGAAAATGTGGGATGGGTCTAATGGAACACTGTTTCCAGCACTTCTCTGGAAATGTTATGGTGCTGTAAAATACCATTAAGCATTCATGGTGGTGTGCTCAAAGTCACAAATGAAAAGCTTTGCATTTTGTAAGATCACCAATGCGGCAGTGAGTCACTACACAAAAATGGACACTGAGATTTACAGAAAACATTGTGTTTTTCCACCTTCACATTTTTAGGATTTTTACATTCTAGGATTTTTAAAATTGTTTTAAAGACTTGAGTTTGTTGAATTTCATGGGAGTTGTCTTCTTTCATTTGCTTTTGATTGGAATTACAGCAAGAGCTCTCAAAAAACTGCTAACAATCTAATACCAAGTTCCTAATCCATCCTGGAATCATACATTATTGCAAACTGACAATTTTCAGAGTTTGGAATTTCTTGAATGTCAGTATCATCCTGTGGAGCTACTAATGTGACTAGGCTTGGCTGTGCAAATTCTTAACCTTTCAGCTGCTTGATCGTTAGTAGCTCAGAATGATTCTGCCAAAACTTGATGATTAACACAAAATTCTCAGAGCATGTGCAGATTTATTATGTTAGAAGATAAACATAAGGATTCTGCCCTTGCTTATCAAATTACACAAAGTGGTTAGCTGCAACAGATGCTGAACATCTGATGAAAAGTGCTGTGTGTACTCACCATGCATCAAAAGCAATGAGTGCTGAAGACAACCAGAACTTTCTAGCAGATACTCAGTACTCAGAAAATCTGTTTCCAGATCTACTATATCTTCAAACCACATCCTCCTAAAAATTCTCTTAATCAGTCTCCAAGTGGAATTTTTTATTAATGATCTTCCCCCTCCCCCAGATAATCCATCTTTTTGCAGTAGACTGAAAACAGACAATTCAGCAAGTCAACATGAACTGAATATTTAGCTTTAAAAGTATGAGGATATTATAGCATTAAAAATAAAATATTTCTTTTTTTATATGAAAAGGAAAGAAACAAACGGAAAAACACAGACCAAATGTATAGTAGGAAATACCATGTTAAGAGACTGGTTTGGAGGAAATGCAAGAAGGCTAAAAGTTCATTCTGCACATTTCTGAAAGTCATACTGGTCCTTCAGTTATTCCCTCTAGAGGCAGGCCAGTAGTATTATCTGCTGTAGGTCTCTCTTCTTTCTTCATTGAATTCTGATCTAGCAGGCTGACATAAGATTTATGACAAGCTGTATTACCCAAAGGAGGGTAGTGTTGTCTGTAGCAAATATAAGCAAAAATGAGGCCAATGATCCCTCCAGCGAAAGCATCTAGGTAAGAAAAGCAACAAAATCAGATTCATGTTACCATAGAAAGGACAGCCAATAATGAAAACCATAAGTAAAAGACACATGATCGACATGGAAGTGTTTGACCCAGAAAACGTGAAATACAAAGTTTTGTAAACCAACTGGAGTCAAACACTACAATCACTTAGGATACATAAAATCAGCATTTTACTTTGGGCCATCTCCAACATTTTGAATACCCAAAGGTGCGTTTTCAGAAGAAAATGACCCTGGGAAACAGAGAGGCTTCCAAGGCCTATCAAACATTCATTCGTCACACCACCCACCCCTTGCTCTCTAGCTGGCCATGATTTCCAATAGCCACCACCAGATCTTCTTTTGATGAACAATACAGCAGAACTGGTTCAGCTGAGGGAGCACAACACTCTCCACATAACCACCAGCAGTCCAAACTGCTGTATTGACTGCAGTCTGCAGCTTGTATCTGCCTGAGAAACCCCCTGGAATGATGGCAGCTATTGCATGGTCAGTTATGCACTCTACTGTTGACAGCTCTGTGTTCGGGATGGTATTCTCCAGTGGAAATGCACACTTCATATTCCATACAATCGATTAGACTAGACAAGGAATCAGAATAGAACAGGAAGAGAAGCAATTGTATGAAATAACCTAAACCTTCCTGGGTGCAGAACATCAATATTTGAAAGACATCACAGAATCACGGAATGCTTGAGTTTGGAAGGGATCTCCAGAGCTCATCTAGTCCAACCCCCCTGCTCAAGCAGGGACACCTAGGGCATGAGGCACAGGGTCTTATCCAGGCAAGTTTTGAAGATCTCTGAAGGAGACTCCACAATCTCTCTGGGCAGCCTGTTCCATGACTCTGCCACCCTCACAGTAAAGAAGTTCTTCCTCATATGGAGATGAAACTTCCTGTATTTCAATTTGTACCCATTACCTACCCGGTGTTCTACCACTGGGCACAACTGAGAAAAATTTGCCTTCATTCTCTTTACATTCTCTCCTCAGGTATTTGCACATGTGGAAAAGATCCCCTCTCTCTGTTTTCTCTTCTCCAGGGTAAACAGGCCCAGCTCACTTAGTCTTGCCTCAAAAGACAGATGCTCCAGTCCCTTAATCATCTTTGTTGCTCTACCTTGGACCCTTTCTAGAAGTTCCACATCCCTCTTGTCCTGGGGAGCCCAAAACACCACCCAATGCTCCAAGTACAGCCTCACCAGAGCTGAGCAGAGGGGCAGGATCACCTCCCTTGACCTGCTGGCAATGCTCCTCCTGATGCAGGCCAGGATCCCATTGACCTTCTGGGCCATGAGGGCACATTGCTGCCTCATGGTTAACTCGTTGTCAACCAGAACTCCCAAATCCCTCTCCATGGAGCTGCTTTCCAGCAAGTCAACCCCTAGTCTGTACTGGTGTGGGCTATTCCTCCCCAGGTGCAGCACCCTATACTTGCCTTCATGTAAGGTTGCCCTCAATTTTCTGCCTCTGTAAGGCGTAGGAAGAATTGCAGAAATGAGATAGGCATTGACAGAAAGGTGCAACAGGCAAATTTGGCCAAAATTGGTGACTATAAAGAGTCTAATTCCATTTGCCAGCTTGCTCTCAGATTACATTATTCAATGTCTGTTACAGCTCTTGCATTTTTTCACATAAGGAACATATCCTTAACTGCATCTACAAGGCTGAAACTCACATCAGAAACTCAGTAATAAAGAATGTAGTCCTTGGCAGAGCAACATTACTAGGTATTCTCTATAAAGTGAGCACATTTGTTAAAACTGCAGAGGGGGAGATTCTGAACAGCCTTTTAACAGACAAACCTACTTTTAACAGATATACCTATGGGAACAAAACCTGAGAAGTTTAAGACTGAGATGAATATCTTTAAGAAATGTGATTATATGTCATGGTTGTCTGTCAGGGAAGAGGACTAGGATGAATGACCCCTTCCAATCTTATGCTCTCTTCCTAAAGCACAAAGGAACATAATGAAGCTACATAAATAATATTGATTATAAATTATAATATATATGAATCTTTTCCTGTTGAGCTGCTGTGAGCTGACTCACAACAGTCCTCTCTGCGAGTAGGATGAAAGAGTTTGCAGTTCTTGGTAGACAAATACTGAGCAGCCTTTGCAGTATGAATTCCACTGCGGCTTTCAATGTAGATGCTTTCTGAAAGCCTTTGAGATTACTTATTTCCTGATTGCAGTCACTTGATGGAAGGATGTACTGACAACTCCATACATCTAAAGAGATTTCTGAATTATTGTACAGAAGAACTCCTACCTCTCATGACGGACGTCAGTGACAACATAGGAAGGCAAGTATTCTGAGTAAAGCACCTCAACCAGACAAGAATAGATAGACGAAATGCTGGAATGACTTGCAGAATCATGAAAATTTATTGTGAAAACAGTCAAATAGTCCCTGCTTGCCAGATTTTAAAATCATCTTTCCATGTTAAATTAAGAAGTATTTTAAATAAAGTTAAATGTGGTACTATGATGTGAAAGCAAGGGTTTTTTTTTTCTTTCAAACAAGCTGAATCCAGTTCTCCTTGGAGTTAGTGAGAGATGGACATAAACACTGGATCACTGGAAATAATTTCCATTAACGGAGACACTGGGCAGAGGCGCAGCAATTACCATTCTGTGTGTTCTAGCCTGCCCCATCAGGCCCTGGAAATGTGCCTTGATAAAATGGCAGTTGTGCTTCCAAGAGAAATGCATCATACTAATTCAATATGTTTTGATTCAGGGTAAGAGGCATTTATTAAAATGTCTTTCAGTGCATGTAAACAAAAGCACTTCCCTTTCTTAACTAAAGCAAACGAGATTTATTCCAGGTCCAAGATGTTGCAGCCCTCTGTGGTTTTCCTTCCACAGCTGAGGACAGAGATTATACTATCAATCCCTATACCATTGCTAGTCCCTAAAAAGCCCTAGGCTGGGATGCAAGCTGCATTTAAACTATTTAGAGCAAAATGAATCTGAAGAGCTATCACTTTGCCACTAAACAGTCTGGTACATTGAGTAGCTCTATTGACCTCTCCAGAGCTGTTCTAAAATATCCACTGAAGATATACCCAGCTGGAAGATTATAGTTTATTCTCCCCCTTTTATGTATAAGTGTTTGTGCACAGCAAATACCCAGGAAACCACAACTGCTCTCTCTCAGTTTCACAGTGCAATTGGTGGCAGGCGCATGAACGCTGTAAGATTAAAGATATAGCTCTGAGGGCATGAACAAGTTTAATGCTGCATCCTGTACACCCTCCCTATTTTAATATCCCCTACCACAAGGACTCCCAGAGAAAACAGTTCTGAAAACACACTATGAATCATGTCAGATCCTTTCCACATCAGATCCTTTCCACTCTGTTCAATACACTTATCTTCAGTATAGTTAATATCTTGACTCAAGGTCTCTTGCTATTCTTTGCCACTGACTTACAGGTCATGCACCCCTATTTATACTTCATCTCAGGCTGTGAAGGTGTAAGCCCTTGGGGATCTCATGATCACTTCTATATAGCTAGGATATGATGGACAAATCAAAGCCTCCTTCTAGTACAATAGGGTTAGCAGCACCTTAGTGTCAGTAAACTGGAAGGAGCATAAAGAAGAGAAGTAGCAATACACAAATTTTTAGAGAATGTAACCAATAAGAAAAGAATACACAAAACTTGAGGAGATGATACCAGGATATCATACAAAGTTATGAAGAGAATGGTGCTCAATTGCTCTGCTCCCTTTGGGAAGGACATGCATAACATCAGCTTACCTGTCAGTAAAGACAATTTAGCTTAAATATGAATAAATAATTTCTGATCGTGAATGGAGTTAAATCCTCAGATTTTGTCAGAATATTTTTCACTTTTTTAACTATTTTTTTAAGGAAACACTAGAAAAACCCTAGAGTTCTTTCAGACTCACCTTTAGTTTTTCCCTATAAAATTTCCACTTAGTTATTTAGAAAACTAATATTTTCAGAACTAGAAAATTAGAAAATTTTCAGAAAACTAGAAATATGGAGAACTAGAAATTTAGAAAGAGTCAGTGTTTTCGGGACACATAATATAATGCACTAAAAATTCACTAATATCAATACAAAGGCTTTGAATGCTACATCTTTTAGCCATATCAAAGGGAGCTCATAAAAACCTCATAATATTAATGCCCTGAGCCCACTCTATGGCTTTTGAATGTAAAGTTACTCCATTTCATGTCCCACCTACAGCACATTGTTCATTCCCAACAGCATAGTTAAGACTATCACAAAGCTACCACAAGTAATTTAAAACAATTGGCAGAGACTCTGCTGAGCAGTAAGGACAAGGCCGGAGTGTCTGTGCTGTATTTTACAGCGTGAACTAGTCTTTCCCTTGAGAAGGTAGGTCTTTCAGGCAAAACCTAAGGTCACCTGCAAGACGATGTCTGCCAGCACTCTAACTTAGCTGGGGAAGATGTATCTGTGTTTTCAGCTCCGTCTCCTTAAATTTTAAAGATAAAAATACGAGCAGCTGTAATGGATGCAACCACTACCCCTTGGGTGTAGTTTGCTTCTATCATATATAAAATACACCATATTATCTGCCTCATAGCACATGTTTTACTCCATAAATAATTCATACTCTTAGCAAGACACATAACACATTGCAAACATGCACTCACATTCAGTCGTTCTTCTCTGTTGCACAATCACAGACCTCAGACAAATCTGGCCTTACATATTGTGTGCAAGATTCATAACCTTCCTACTGCCCTGCCTACCAGCTTGACAAGGGAAGCATCTCATGTTCAACAGCCTTGTGCTGGATGTTCTCCCCAACACAGCGTGTCTGTGAGCAAAAGGAGCCCTGTGACAAGACAAGGACTCTACAGGAAACCAGGAGACTGTTTAAAGAACATGTCAAGGCTAATGACTTGTGGTTAACAGCTATGGGAGAACAGGATGCTGTCTGAGCACAAAAAAAAAAGCCAAGTGAGAAAAAGCATGCAACAGGCTGAGCCTTGCTCTGGTATATGGACAGCTTTTGTATAAGAAAAGAAAGTGCTCAGTGGGACAGAGAAACAGCGTACATAGTTGAAACTAGGTAGAGTAACCAAGCCTAGTGTGGAGTGATACTTCTTAGAAAACACGTCAAGTAAACAATATTTAAACAATACGAAGCAGATACTGTTGCATTCTTATTATTAATACCATATAAAGCCAAGATGACCTAGGTAACAGAACCAGAAATAGCAGCTTTGGGTACAGCTGTGGCATAATGTAGGCAAATAAGGAAAAAGTAATTGTGGGCAGGTTTTTTACTCAGGGGAGGACTTGTGTGAAGATAGGGAGGTAAAAAGCAGTGAAAAGGTGGGTCAAGAAATCAGAAAAGTGAAATTATCTGTTATAGTTATAGTTTTGCATTATAATTCTGCCTAATTTACCTGAGAATGTTCGTGCAATATGAAAGATCCAATGCTTCCACTAGAAGCATCAAGAAGCAACTCAAGAAGAGATTAGGACTAAACATCCTTCAGTCTTAACTATGCCTCACTTCAGAGTATCTCCTATTATGATATATTTAAAGAGATAGGCTCATCCAAAGACACATTTTGTACAACTCAACTACACTTCCAAAGCGGTCCTCATAATTTTATGAACCCAGCAGCAAGGAAAATCTGCTCTAAGATGGTAACGTTTTAAGTCATATGAATTCAATGAAAAAAAGTTAAATAAAGAAATAGAAGGCTAATTTAAAAAGACAAAGAAAAACAGTAAAAAGGTATTTCCATGGCTTACCTTGCCAGTGATGCTTGTAATCGCACATGCGTGACAGGGCGATCATCATGGCACAGTAGAGAGGCAGAATTGCTGCACAGAGCCGCCAGCTCTTCCCCCGGCCATTTTCAGTGAAGCAGTGCAACTTGCCAGCTAAGTAGAAGGTGGTAAAGCCAAGGCCTGAAAATGCAACTGATAAAGAAAAACACAGCATTACCATGCGTTGTCTCACTGTCCCATTTGATACTATGCATTGCGACAGATTGTGTTTATAATATAAATTAGATACAGATTCCTAGGACTCTTAGCACGATGAACTTAAGCACAACAAATTAACATCTCTTCCACCTTCTAGGGGAGATTTTCTCTTGTGCTTTTTCTGTTTGTTAGATGATCTTCAAATATTAGTTTGATTAGTTTTATTTCCACATTTCCATTTTCCCTCTCAGTGCTTCGCTTTTTTTATTTTTTTTAATCTTCATGAAATGATTTTTATACTGAAACTGGATCACAGTATTTCTAGACGGAAGCACAAACTGCTTTTTGACCTCATTCTCACAAGACGTACAGCGTCTAGCCTAGAGAGTCTAAAGCAGCATTTAAATCAGATATTGACTCTCCTAAATAAACTATCTGAAATGTTGAGTGTAACTCGCCTATGTTAACATGCTTTTATATTGTGGATATATATTGCCCAGTCCCTAAAGTAGATCTTCAGTTCACACATTCTCTTATTTAGAATTACTAGCAATTCCAATGCAGGACACCCTGCCATCTGGAACGAAAAGAAAAGAAAACAACAAACAAAAAACAAAATAGAAAACAAAACGTGCATACCATTCTGAATAGCAACAAGTTTTATCAGAGCGAAAACATGCAAGAGAGAATTACGAGCTTCTTACAAGATGAGGTGCTAAAAAGCAGTACAGTGACCAAAATACATTCCTATATTAATGTTCTTAACTTTATATTTCATTAATGCTGTGGGAATATAAAACACCTCTGATATACAGAAAAACAGACCATGAATACATCAATATTTACATGTTATAGGAAATGCAGGAAAAACTTTTCTTCACACCAAGTGCTTGTTCCTTAAATTCTTTAATCTAAACCTTCAGAATTGAGCTTTCATATTCACAGTTCAAGCACAGTAAAGCTGAACTACAAAACCAGGATTATATATATAACACAGCAGTGAAATAAAAATATATCACATGGCATTTCAATGACACAATTTGACTCTTAATTAACAAAAGTCTTTTTTTTTTTTTTAAGATAACATTACCACTTGTTTTTGAGGTAGGCTTTTGGGCTGAGATCTTCCATGTTATTTATGAAATCTTCACATTCACTTATGAAAGATTTTATCATTACTGGAGCATTCTCAGACAATTGACTAGAAAGATGAGCACTTAAAGATTTTCCCTTAATGCAGCACTCTTAATAAGGTAAAATCTCTTCTTGATAAGCGACATTCCAAATTTTTAAATCAAAATAGATCTTCAAGTTGAACTGGAATGACTTATTCTGGATTTCATAAGGCAAAGTTTGCAACTCATGTGAAGTGTTTGCTATATATTCATACTGGAAACTTCTTTTTTTTTTTCTGTCCACGCTAATCTACATTATACACACAGACTATCACAATGGATACTTTAAAGAGGTAAAACAGCATAGAGGGTAACTGTGCTTGGTAACTTAGCTTGGTAACTATGTACATCTTACCTTGGTAAATTGTACATCTATGTACATCTTACCTATCTAAATTTTTAGACTCGTGATTTCTAGGCATGTTGATAGCTATCTATGGAGGTTATTAAAATCTTCATGTTTAATTGTAAATGTCTTCTTTGTGGACTTTTTTTAAGACTTACCTGCATGCTATTTAAATGGTAAAACAGTTAGAGAAGTAACTGGATAGATTCCATAGATTAACAGAGTTATAAATCACTGGCTCTGGCGTGCTAAAAGCAAAACGGGCATAGAAGTACAGAGTAAGACAACGTACATCATAAGACAAAGTTCGAGATGTATTTGATTCCCAAAAACACGAGCAAGTCAACATTTCGGTTCAGTTCAGTTCAGACTTTGTCTTGTATCCTCAGTTCTGTTCCATCCCACCAAGGCTGCTGTATAAGCCCCAGCACCATCCTGGAAGCAGAAGGCAGAAGCCTACAGATCAAGGACCACTGATTTAACTGTATGGCAGGCAAAAGCAGCAGCAGACATAGCTAAATGGGTCTTACAGTAAACCTTAGGTTATTAAAAGAAAGAATTATTTCTCCATAATTTACATTTCCATAATCTGCCACTTTTCCGGGAGAAGGTGCTCATGAAATAATAGAGAGTTCAGCAGTTCAGCAGGATCTATATTTTCAAGAAGGCAACTTTTGCCTTAGATAGTTGCTGTGTACCTGGAAACTGAAGTTCAGGAAGAAAAGACTGACTCATAAGCACTATTCCAGGGGGATTTACCCCTGATGCATGATGAAAAAGTAATATAATGCTGCTCTAGCTTTTGGCTATGAAACTAATATTCTGCAGAGTGGCTTTACGTTGCAATATTGCAAGATTGATTTCCCTCAGCCTGGATCATACACATCCAAAGCAGAGCTCTTCGCCCCATGGTCACAGTGTGTGCACAACGAGCAGCTGAGAAAAGCATGGAATTAACAGCCGAGTGCTCTGGGATGTGGCAGTACACATTACAAACATAACTATATATTCTGAAACAACTCAACTGCTGTGCACTCCATGTAGGCTCCTACTTGGCTTGAAGGCTATACTTCAAAGATGTGATCAGTCAATAACATTCAGAAAATCATTTCACTGCCAGAAAGTCTGGGCCTATAGGTAAGATTTACATTCAAGACTTAGTGAATCCATGGAATATATTTGAACAGACTTTAACAGAAATTAATACTCTGATTGTATAAGGAAGGTAAGGAGCAACACGATATACCAACCAACTCTCTTAGGAAACACTAGCACAAACAAATGAGAAAAATGAGTCTGCTTTGGTTTAAAACAGTGCTAGCTAAAGACAGATGCCTATGCAAATTCCAGATAGAAATATTTGATTTTAAATGTTGGAAGAAGAGAAAGGAATGATTCAAACACACACTATAAAGAAACTGACTTTTTTGTTTTTTCAATTGGTGTTGCTGAGCACATGTAAACCTTCCCCTGACAAGCCATATGTTCTGTAAGGACTTGATAAAACACTGTAGGTTTTGTGTACCTATTGAAATACAGAATATGGAATATTTGCATTGCAGGAGCTCTGAAAGTCTTAGCTGAGAGAGGGTGGCCATTATGCTACGTGTTTTGCAAACACACAGATTATTCCACAGTATCCCACAAAGCTTAGACTAAAGATAAAAAAAAGAGACAAGGTGGAGGTGCAGAGGGCTAAAGAAATTTGCCAAAGCAAGGATAAAATCCTGCTTCTGGAAAGCCAGGATCTGTGCCCTACCTTGAGGCTCATGCTGCCCTCATGTTCTTCCTCTGCATTCAGAAAGGTATCACTGAACTGTTCTCTTCAAATAGAGTCCTTACACATTCTTAAGAAATTAATGGAATAGAAGGGAATTTTGGAATTAAAAGGGCAAGTTTGAGTCTTATGGCAACAGTTGCTTTGAGTATTTTAGTAGGAGATGAAAGACTCAAATGAGAGGAAAACAGATTAAGCAAATTTGATTTGGCCCCTTATTGTTTACATCCATTTCCTGTCTCTGCTGGCAGCAAAAATGCTTTGGGGCAACGGGGCTATTTCAGTACCAGCAAAGATGCTGCATTTGCAGATCTTGCATCTCTCTATAGATTTTGAAGGGACTCCTGATTCTGAGATTTGTAGTGCATATGGTGGATAGTTTTGGGTTTCTTCAAAGGAATCACAAAAACTAAAACTGATAATGTTCTCTGCTATAGTTATATGGCTTTATTTCAAACTGTTATCACCAAAAAATGTTTAAAAAAAGAATATGCTCTCTCCAGATAATGTTTTTGGTAACTATATAGTCAGCTGTAAATAGACATTAGTGTGTGATAAATATTAATCCCCTTTGCATTATTTTTTATACCTATTTTTATACCTACTCCACCTGTTTCCTTTGAGGTATATGTTAATAAAAAAAAGTCAAAGGTTTCCAATTTATTTTCTTTCGAATATGGCTAGAAACTGTTCAGAGGCCATACTGCAGGTTCTAAGAGCTCATTCAGCTCAGCGGATGCTAGAGGAGAAACAGAGTCTCCTTATACCAAACGAATTCCCTATTCCCATCTTCGGAATGAGATGCAAATACCAGCTGCACATGGGATGAAGTTCAAGTCACTGCTGTAAGGTGTTCCAGTTCAAAGAACATACTGGGCTGTCCTGGCACCTAATGCTGCTTATTTTGTCTGCTGGATGAGGACTGTTCAAAATCTCAGAGTTTGCAGCCAGAGGGGACCGGTGGATCTTTCAGTCCAGCCTCTACTGTACCACACCAAGTTAAGTTCAAACCCACTTTCTGATGCTAATTAAGTATATTTTTCGGAGGAATAATATGAAGATACTTCGAGAAAGAGAAATCTCTCTGTGCTCTTTATTATTTCAGATATGAGGGCTCATAACACCAACTAGTTAGAAATTCTAACTTAAAAATATGAGTTTGAAACTAAACGACTGCTACCCCAAGGACCACATTCATTTGAAGTTCTGATATGGTAAAACATTTACTATAGGAAGAGAAAGATAAACGATGAGCCCCAAAGAGAACTTGGTCTCATGAGAAGGGCTCTCCGACAAAATTCACACACCAGTTTGTTGCTCCTATTTCACAATAATAATATACCCAAAGAATTGACACAACCACTGTTACAAGCACTTTTTTTATGGAGACAGAGTGACCTCCCAGTCCCTTTAATAAAAACACACTATAACTGAGCTCCTGGAAGAAGATGTCAAAGACATGAACAATCCAATCCCAACAAATATCCTCCCCTCCGTCTTCTAATTTAGATTGTTTTCTTTTTCTCTCTACTCAATAAACCAGAGACAGGTATTTACTTTGAAATGTATACAGCTCTGCATCATGTAAGTCTCTATATCAAATACCTGGCTCAGGGAGAACGGGAATAATAGAAAAGACTGCAAGCAAGCCTGTCATACTCATGCAGGTTTTTGCTTTGCCATAGAACACCTACCT